CAAGCCACCACACCTGTCTTGCATGGTGCCCTTTTAGAAGCTCTCTTGCTGAGGATGCTTGAAGACAATCCACTGTACTTTCTAATTTCTGCTTCCCCATTTTTGATACCGATATTGGAAAAATCTGACTCATGTTTCTAGACTCTTATAAATTATGTACAATGAGGCTGTTGTAAAACACCACAAAGAGGAAAGTCAAATTTTCAGTGTGTCTGCATTGCCTTTCCACAAAGAGATTAACATTGATTCAATCAAAATCTTAACAGAAATAAACACTTAAAATATTTAAGTGGATCAATTTTCCTGTGGTTTGAAGCCTAAAATTTTAAAGCCTTCCCCATTTAACATAATGTTTTTCTATATAGAAAATGGTGGCTGTTTATTTTCCTTTATAACCCACTTTTAGCCTTAATTGTTTGGTATTATTAGTTTAACATAAAATAGAATTTCTTTTGTCTAGAATTTTGTCTGTGTTGGTGTGCAATATGTTTATAAATATAGCCAAATCAAAAAGTTATTTTGAGGTGATGAGTTGATTTTAAAAGAGTTATTGAAAGTTACAGATTATTACTATTAATAATTTTGGTCATTAAAGGATAATGTTAGGGTCTGGGGAGATGCCTCAGTCAGTAGAGTGCCTGCTATGCAAGCACAAAGACCTGAGTTTGGATGCCCAGAGTCTGTAGATTCAAGTGCGTAGTGCACACTCAGAGCCCCAGTGCTGGGGGTGTGTAGTGGCGTAGGAGTGAGAACAGACAGGCCCCAGAGAAAGCTTCAGAAGTGGTTGTGGCTGCTATGAAATGAGTGAGCTGTGTTCTTCAGAATTCTCTGAGGGAGACTGGAGAAGTACAAAGGGGGTACATTGTGAACCACAGGGCAGATAGGATGTGCCCCAGCAGTGGGATGCCTGCCTGACATGCACTAGGCTCTGGATTTGAACCCTGGCACCACAAAAGAACCATAAAGACAGGATGGGACTGACTGAGGGCAGGAGACTGAGCATCTCATGAAAGAATCAGGATGATCCAGAACAGGCCACCTGAACCCTGTGGAGGTGGGAGCA